CATGGAGCGTATATAGTCTGTGAATCTATGCATAATGTTACAAGTGCTTTTACTGGAAGCAATCAAATAAGTATAGTGAATGGGGATGAAAGTATGAATATATCCATCAAGATTTTTTACAAAAAAAAAAATCTCAAAATTATTGTATACAATCCCACGCAACAGTTATATTTACAAAAACCAGGTTCCCTTGGTCAAGCTATCGAATTGTAAAACCAAGTTACACCCAAGATTCAGCCTTTGGGGAGCCAAAATCCAAAAGCTATGGAGTCTTCTAGGCAGCATTCCCTGAGATCTGATAGGGGCTCAATTCATGCAACTTAGACTCCTAGTTTCAGAGTTCAGGGCATCCACCATTTCTTCTTTTTCTTTACTTATAGGGTAGGTAATTCTGGATGCAAACAGCAAAAATATACATTGGTAACCAGCACATTCCTTTTGGCCATCATAACAAAGAAAATATAATGGTGGATAATTGAGGATGTGGGTTTACCTCCTTCAGGATATATGGAGTTGTAGTGCACCTCAGCCCAAAAGCTCAAGAAAATAACTGCATGAGCAACAAATTACAAATTTCATCATTTCATGTATATTCACAATAATAACAAATCCAATCAAGCTTTGATTGCAACAACCCTGATTTCATTGTGAAATGGGAAGATAGAAAAAAGGATGACAAAACCAAATTTTCTTTACCTCGTTTGGACTTTGGAATGCGTGGAAGGATCTCAATGTAACATGTATCCTTGAATGAAGTAATCACAAATATCTTTACACCATACTGCAACAACAATGAAGAATGTATTGGTTATCCATGAAAAACGCCAAAAAAAAAAGGGATGTAAAAGACTTGTTTAGCACAAAGAATGTGTCAAGCAACTTAACAAACATACAACACATTAGGCCTTCAGAGTTCAATCCGATTTGTTGTTGTTGAGTTTAATTACCCTAACTTACCATTATTAATGTCAATTTCTTAAAGGAAAACCAAAGATAAAGGTTAGGACCTTGTGCCACAATGAATTTTTTTTTTTGTTCTTGCTATTAACCAAGATTCCTCAATCTGAAAGACTATACCCCAATATCAATATTGTCCATGCCTTACCTCAGTCCACAAAATTTTATAGGGCCAAGCAACCAGCAACAAAAATTTATTGATTTTACAACGATATTAACGGATACAACTTGAAGTAGAAGAAAAGGGAAAAGAGTATTCAGAAAGGATTTTTGTTTGAAAACAATCAATTTGACATCAATCAACAAAGTTGAAGCCACAAGGTGATTATAGAGTTAATGATCAATGCTCAAGTTCCTACTTTCCAGAATAAACCCAAAAAATAAAAATAAAAATAAAGGAGGGGGAAAAGAAAAAGAAAGTTCTTTAATGGCACATACCGAATCTGCAGCTGCTTGCAGTGTAACATGATCACCCCATTCACTATTCCTATATAGTCAACATTAAAGGAACGCAGGTAAAGAAGTTTCTAATAGCACTTTTGGGAATAAAATAAAATATGAATGAATAACATTGAAATATACTTGCTCATTTTCTTCAAGTAGTCACCATAAGCCATAGGTACATAACCCTCGTACATCTCAGGATGAGACTTGAGCTAATAAAATAAGCATATGGCAACAAAACAGAAAAACAAAGCATCAGACTAATATGTATATATAAATTATATATTAAACAAAGAAACCAGAAAAATTGAACTTGCAGAAACACCAACCAACCTGGCTAACAACTTGCTCTCTGACAAAGTTGTGGTGTTCAGGGGAGCGGTAAAGTTGATCTGATAAAGCACGAAACTGGGAAGATATGAATCTAATGAGAGACCACTTAAGGCCTAAGATTGAGTATTGCTTATAATATTCAAGGGAAAAAAGATTAAAAGGAAAAAACAAACCTGACAATTGCCATCTCCTTGGACCTTATTCTCAACCAGATTGTACAACTTCAATCTGAAAAATAAAATAGAGCATTCCTAAAACTAAACATACCACTTGAACCAAGTTAAGAAAAAGAATTCACCAGCTGCTTCAAAACACATTATATGAAACACTTTTTAAATTCATCAGCTGCTTCAGAAAAACTATAGGAAGAATAGAGATTTGACACAAACCTCTCAAGTAGCCTTTCATGATCTGATGTCTCTTCATCAGCTGATGGTATCTCTCCATTAGTTTTAGGAACATGCTGTATAACCCAAAATTTAAAATTTTAACAGCATGGACCATGGTTATTCATCAATGTTATTCCTCACTGAGAAGATAAAATAAGAACTTGAATAAAAATATAATTTGCAGATGAACTTCCATATAGATTTTAACAGGAACTAATTTCATCTTTGTATAAAGATAATGTAAATTTCCAGGAGTTATACTTACAGGAACAGGAACCATCTGATTCAACCTCTTCCCTACTTCACCATCGAGAACAGATGACCCACCCATCCTATCAATTGAATGGGGCAAATCTTCCTCAAGAAAAGATTTCTCTCCTTTGCTGGACTCTTCTTTAGCCTGATCACGAATCACCGTGCTAAATTCATGGGTAACCTGATAGTGATCATCTGTTTCTCTTTCTTCTGCTTGTCTATGGTCAGATTCATAACCTAAACATGGTTTGCAACACTATCACATAGAATTACTTCGATGAAAAGGATCAATACAATCACTGAGTTAAAATCAGAATGGCAACTCAGAATTTCCTACCACCAGAATTTTGCTCCCTTCCTAGAGGTCCAAGCCAATCCTGGGAAAGAATAGAGGCTTCACCAGGATTAACGAACCCAGATGCCTCTGCAGCTGCAATTCTTGAAAGTTCTTCTTGATAAGCATATGCAATAACTGCATCATTCGCTAAATTTAAATGCACGGGTTCCTGATAACCTTCTCTGACATACCCAACTTGGGCAGAATCACTGTCATAATAAGTCACACTACCAGGGGAATCACCACTTGAAGCCATGCAAAGTTGATGGGGATCCCATCGAACAACATCAAGGTTAAAATGACTCAGGATCATATTCCCTTGTATTTTTCACAGAGAGTTGTGTCCTAGTTTCCAGCTCTAATTTATAAAATCACCCAAAAAATTCCAATATCTAAAGAAAACATGTAAATTAGGCAAATTCAGTGCAACATGATATCTATTGAAAGTAACAAAATTAATAAAAACGAACAAGATAAGCATTTTGCTTGCACGCATAATAAGTATATGATATTCAGGGCCAAACTTAAATTACTAAACCATGTATAGCACCCCACATCATGCAGATAAGCAATATCCAAGTTCCCAACTTTCTGCCATCAAGTTCGAATCTTTGATTTATTATCAAGTAAAGTCAAAAGGGTAATAGCTAAGACGGCAAGATTTATCAGAAAACATGCTCCAAATTAATTATAACTAAGAAACCCTGACAATCAAGCCAGAACCAAACAAATAAAAAAAAAAAAAAAAAAAAAAAGTTATGTCCTTAACTTCCTCGCGCGTTAACTCCCGTTCGATCGTAATCCGACGTCCCAAACTCTCTCTTCCTTGGGACAACCTCACTCTTGTTTTCTTTTCTGTAATAAAAAGGAACCGTTTCCAAGAATCTTAGGGGCTCACGCGATCTGATCCTCCATGTTTGCTCTGTA